CGTGGATATCACGTGCACCTAGCTAGCAGTGAGGAGACCACGTGCACCTAGCAGCGTGGAGATCACGTGCGCCTAGCTAGCAGTGAGGAGACCACGTGCACCTTGCAGCTGGTGGCACTAAACAACAAAACAAGATATGTGAGAAAAACAAGATGTTTATCAGAGTGTGCTCAGCTGTTTCAGGCTGTTGAAAACAAGTCTCTTGTCAGGGTATATGGCCTGAGATGGCTGCAAAGATGATAGCCGCTTTCAGCTAGGAGTCGGCTCCCAACACCCATGGAGTTGTTCCACAATGTGCAAGCATCCTTCACAGCACCCATCCACACATGCACCACATGCCCACACGCTTGGAGGGTCACTTGCATGCACTTTAGAAGGTGATGTAATGGGTTCCCAGACCTTAGCACAACAGACGCCATGATGGAAGTACCATTCAGGCCTTGGAACCCAGCACATAGGCAGCACAGCCTGAAAAAACGAGAACAAAGACCTAATCCATCAAAGTCCATTAAAAAAAAGTTCTGGAAAATTCTCTAAATGTACTAACCTTGTCTTTTGGCTTCTGCAGTCTGTTTTTTGGCTAACTGTTCTTGCTGACTGAGGTGTGTTAATGGAGGATGTGGTTTTCTCTGCTGAAAAGCTCACCCTGAGAAAGTCTTAGGACTGCACTGAGGTCCTGAACACAGAATAGTCACCAGCAGGCCAATTAAAGACTTCCTAAAGGCTCGAACCCACATCCAAGTAGTCTTCTCTGGTAGATACCCCACTACAATGGCCATTGGAAGAATTCAAACAATTTTGGGCTTCACAGATCTGAGAGGTTTTCCCTGCCATCATCAGTTGTGAGCTGTCCTGCAGTCTGTGAGAATGACTCTCAAATATGCCAGAGTTGAGAAGAATTAGCACTGAACTAACCTGGTCTGTGAGTGGCATTGTGTTGGCTTTAGTTTATCCAGTATAGCCATCCATTGTGTGTATGTGAGCTCCAGTCTTGTCAGAACCCCAGACTGTACTGACACATTTCAGTTTATGAGTTTTGAGTTTTGCTGGCCTGGTCTCTGTTCTTCGTAAAATTATTAGTTCAGCAAAAGCCAAAGAATGAGTTCTTCAGAAGGCTGGGTTAATAGTGATGGTTAACATTACAGGATTCAGAATTACCTGCTAGTTAAACCTTTGATCATTTCTGGTCTATTAGGTCAGTTGAAGTAGGAAGGCCCGCCTTGACAGTAGGTAATAACATCCCACAGGTTGGGGCTCCAGCTGCGCTCCAGCATTCATTGTCTTCTCCTTCCTGACCCTAGATGTAATGTGACCAGCTGTCTCAAGTTCTTGCCACCATCAGAGACTATTTCCCTTCCTAGTTAAAGACCCCGTTATTGCTTTTTTTGTCCCAATGGTAAAAAATATATATATATGATTAATATAGATAGTATGTGTCCCTAGCAGAGCTAGCTTGTGAATCAGATTAAATAGGATATATTTGGAGTTTATAACTGACCCATCTACAATATGAGCTTATTCTTTGGAGGGCTCTAGATTAGTCAGAGTTGGGTGACATTACATCTTATGTGGGTTTCATCTCTGCATTGCAAGGGCTGTTAAAAGGGCTTTGGGTTGGTGCATTGGATTGAACCATGAGCTGTTTTTATATAGAATTTCCTTGAAGCTAGATTCATCTTGGCTTTGTGGTGGGGAGTATTAATGTTCCTGGGCTGAACAGCAATGACCATTTCTGGGCTGAAGCTGTGGATTGTCTGGCTTCTGGTATACCCTCATGACGTTAGGCTTGCTTCAGAGCCTGGGCTATGCTTGATTACTAGTACTTCTGTTTATCCTACCACCAAAGCCAATGTGGCTCAGATTCTTCAGAAATTCTGTTGTTCCAGAAGATAAATTGCTTTTGATAAATATTCTCCTGACCTTTTTTGCACACGGTGTGTGGTCCAGGCACTAGTAAGAACCTATAAATAGTGGACCTAGTCAAGTGACATGACTGTGTTAGATTTGTCCATATTGTTGGCAACTATCTATAAGATAAACAATTTAAATTTTATTCTGGATGTACTGTCTGGGGCCCTTTTTAGAGTCCTTGTCAATAACCCAAGTAGCATGTTGATGCCCTGCGAGATTCTGGGAAGGTCATGAAAGAGTGACGCAGCACCTAGCAGGTGTCTGACAGCTTGGTGAAACATCTGGATCATGGAAGGGAGGGGTCCACAGGGAGTGGGTCAGTGAGAAGCTGCCACTTCAGTGTGGAAGCAAGTTCTCTAATCTCTTGAAAAACAAAGACTGGAGATTTCTGGAATCCTTAAGTACTTTTCCTATAGCAGATGAAACATCTGAATAGTCAAAAACTACCTCCTTGGTTTTTTGAGACCTGGCACAGCACAGGATCAAATCCCTTGCTCATCTCCACTGTGAAACTGGCATCCATCAGGTAATGGAGGTTTCTAAGGGTTTATTCTCCTGATATCCACAATACATGGACTGTTTAGACTCTTCCACACCCTAGCTTCTACTTGCATAGCTGGGGGAGGAGGAGGAGAGAAGAGGAAGAAGAGGAGGAAGAGAAGGAGGAAGAAGAGGAGAAGGAGGAACTGGAAGAGAAGAAGGAAGAGGAGGAAGAAGAGGAAGAGAAAGAAGGAGGAAGAGGAGAAGAAGGAAAAAGAGGAGGAGATAGAGGAGGACGCAGCAGGAGAGGCTGCGGCAGCAGCAAGCTGGAAATGATCCTCTTGGATCAAAAGGGCTTTTTGCAAAATCCTAAAAGAAAGGCAAGGCAGCTGGTACACACCAATAATGGGATGACTCCAGCTACTTCTCTGCCCTCTCCAGGGCCACATTTATCCTTGGTGGGGGCACACTCTTCTGCCATCCCCACTTCTCTGTAAACACATTTTGAATGAAATCTCCCATTCTGGAACCTAAGCCTCTGCCTGTCCTACACAATGGGTTTTGGCCGTAGGGAGCTCAGTCAGTGACCCTTTGCTCTCTCCCAGGCTGTCCTTCTAGATCACCCCCTACCTCACCCCATAATATTCTCAAGGCATTCTTCTCCCACCCAATCTCTTAAATAGCTCAGAGGACATCCAGGGCATCCGAACGAGAGGTTTTTAACCCCTGGCTCCTCCTGTCCCTTGCCTCCCTACAGGGACATGTACACCCTTTCCTCCAGTCTTAGAACACTTTCTTTATTACACTGTCCTCAAGTTCCTTCTTGTCCTGGACCAGTGCCCCCTGTCCCCCAGTTTTCCAGCCGTCATTGGTCCAGCTGGCTTCTGTAGATTTCCCCTCCTCTTTCTTATCACAGAGCTTGGTGGAGCCAAGATGGGTTTTCCTTGTTTGAGACGGGAAATCATAGAAAAAGCAAATGTAAGTCAGTCAGAGTATTTTTTTTTTACTTCTCCTAATTATTTTTTTTCCTGCAAATAGCAATTTCAAAATTGTGGGCCCAAGTAGGTGTTACAGCTTCATGGACAAGCACGTCTGGGAAACTATTAAATCATTTTTTTTCCCTACAGAAATTCTCCAGCGTTTAAAGTGATAACAGGCACGTATTAGTTACCTGTGATTGCATAACAAATCACCCCAAAGCCAGCAGCTTAGAACACAGGCAAACATTGTCTACTGCTTTCCAGGATTGGGAGTCAGGGAAGGGCCAGGTCAGGTGCCTGCTTGGGTGTCAGAGGCTGCAGTCACCTGAAGGCTTGGCAGGCACTGGAGAATCAGCAGTAAACCAGTCAATCCTCAAACAAGTCACCAGGGTTGGCTGTCTGGGGGGTGGGTTGGGGGGTGGCAGTGTCTAGCCACATGGGGCTTCTCCACAAAGCTGTGGAGTGGGGTTGGGGGAGTTTCATGCTATGCCGTTGAGCTCCCTCAGAAGAAGGATCCAAGAAGAAGGGAAGCTGTGTGTCTCATACCTGTGCCTCAAAACCCTCAGACACCATCAATTCTGCACTGTGAAATAAGCCACTTACATATCATGTATAAGTGAACTTCATGTGAAAGGTGTGTGAACTAAGGCTGGGAGGTTCTGGAGATCACCTGAAGGGGAGCTAGTACAATTCACTAATAATATGCTTATTAGAAAATACAATGAATAATCAATAAACCACTTCAAGATACTGGAATTTCAAGGTGTATGCTTTGGAAGAAAACTGCCAGGGTGGTCATGGTGAGGTGTGAAGGTTTCAGGTGTATCTAGCTAGAAGAGCATGAAGCTGGGACAAGAGTGCACATTGATTTGTGACTTCCAGAGATGGGAAGTTAGACCTTGCGTCCCGTGGGAATGGGGACTTGAACTAAGGAAGACTCTTCAGTCTAGAAAGGCAAGCGCAAGACTCGAGACAGCGTTTAATCCCCTGAACTGTCCACAGCTTTGACAGCTCCTTAACACGGTGCTTCAACAAAGATGGGAAGGGAAAGACAAAATTCACAGGCAGAAAGAAGAGTGGTTGCCACAAGACGTCCCTAAAACGTGGAGATGCTGACAATCTAGATGCCTTGGCTGTTCCAAGCCTCTACGGCTATATTCGGTGACATTGTATGCGCTGATTTTGACCAGAGCCCTTTGTGATCTGCAATAAAACTATGTACGATCACGTGGTGGCTCAGATTGCAAAGGCCTTGTGCTTCGTTTGCACAAAGGCTCGTGTTTGGAAAGTCCTGGCCTGGAGTTGGAACCACCCTGCTTGAAGGAAATGAGTTTTCATCAAATGTTTACAGCAACTGTATCCGCAGATGCAGAAGAGTAAAACAGAAAGAAGGCATGGGGCGGGGGCGGGGGGGGGAGAGTAGAGAGGATGAAGATGTGGAAGAAGACGAAAAGGAAGGATTAATTAAAGCCGTGCAGCTCACCTGAAAACTCTTAAGATTTATCCCCTGCCAAAAGTCCCCACCCGATTCCTCCCCAGCCAAGGTCTAGCGGACCCCAACATTTTTGCCGCCCTTGGCCACAAGATGGCACTCTTTGGACTTTTCACACACACACAAAAAAAAAACCTAAGAAAGGAGGGGAGAAGGGAGGGAGCAAAGACACTGCACTGCCCCAACCAAGAACAATTTGAAAACCCACCCCATCATACTTAAAATCTAGGACAAAGAGTCGTCAGGACGGAACTGCTTCGACTGCAAAGCTTCAAGCGCAGCCTGGGAGCGGCCTGGTGGCCCCATCCCGGCAGCTCCACAGAGCAGAGCGCCCTGGGTCCCTGAAACTCGAAACCCCGGCGCAGAACCGGCGGAAATCAAAGTGAAATCCTTGAACTTCTCTGGACAATTGCTTCCGGGCGTTTGCAGAGAGCCGGGGGACCTGACTGGAGCCCAGGTCCCGTATGGCGCGCCCCTGATGTCTCACAGACGCCAGCGAGGCCAGCGCTCCGGCTGCAGCATGGACCGCGCGGGGCGCCTGGGAGCGGGCCTGCGGGGACTCTGCGTGGCTGCACTCGTGCTCGTGTGCGCCGGACACGGGGGCAGCCGCGAGGACGGGGGACCAGCTTGCTACGGGGGATTCGACCTCTACTTCATCCTGGACAAGTAAGTGCCTGGAGGATGCTGCTCTGGGGCGGGCTGTCCCTAGGGCTCAGGACAGCTGGGCTCCGATCCCCAGCTGCCAGGCGTCTGTTTTGCTTAGCCTGCTTTCTTTGCTGTCTCTGGCCCGGAGTCCTGGGAGGATGCAGTTGGCTCTATTTGTCTTATTGCTTCCCACCTTGGAGAGAAGGAATTGCAACTAGAAGTAGAATTTGCAGACACTTCCAAAGTTGGAGGCGAGGGTACTCTTCAAATTTAGTCATCTCTTTTTACAAAATGTAAAAATGCAGTCTTTGTTCTCATGGCATGATGCCTGATGACTCTGGCACTTGTGAAAGTCCAAGGCACGGAGTCTCCACCTCTGGTGTTCCAACTAGTTTTTTTGTGCAGACTTCACCCTCCACTTAAGGGCTCCAAGCACCATTCTGTCCCCTACCCTATAGACAGATGCCAGCCACAAGGCCACTCTTCCTTCTGAGTGGTGTCAACTAGAAATGCTTTCAAATACTGGCAAATGTCCCCAGCACCCCGTTGCCTTCAGAACTGAGGTGTAGGTAAATTTGGGCTGTTGGTTTTTGACTGATGGGCTGCCAGGGAAACCAGCAAGATTACTCCTTACTAAAACGAACTTTGCTTAAGGAAGAACTGAGTTAAGGCCAGTTCGACACTTTCCAGATCCCTCCAGGGTTGCCAAGCCACAGTTACTCAAGTAGGCTTCATGCGCTCTGCGGAAAAGCAGCTACAACAATAAAAAGTCCCTCAAGATCCGGGCTCCTTAGATCTGTGCCAGTGCCAGGAGAGGCGCTTGCAGTTACAGTGGTAGGGAGGTGAATTTCACAGACTGGAAAGTATTTGGGAGTTGGAACAAGAGTGAGTCCTGAAAAATAAGCTGGCCGCTGGACACCAAATGTGCTTCACAGTTGCTGCTGGGGTTTGAGTTTTCCGTAGAGGCTGTTTTGAGTTCCAGATACTTTGGATAAAAAGCAAGGGCTCTTTCTTACAGATTTAGGAGAAGGTGGATACTGAAAATCCAGGCCCCAGGCTAAGAAATGGAGAATCTTTTGTTATTTTAGCAGGTGGGAGCTGAAGCTCCCGGAGTCAGGGAGACTCTGGGACAGTCTGAAACCAAAACTGCTCCCCATTGTGCCCCTCTGAGAGGACTTTGGGGTTGGATCTGTGCCTCAGTCAGCAGGATGCTTGCCTAGAATGTACAAGCCCCAGCTCACTGTGATGATGGCGGTGCTCGCCTGTAACCCTGCAGCTGGGAGGAGTTTAAGGTGATCCTGGGCCCTTAGGGTACATAATGAGCTTGAAGCCAACCTGGGTTACCTGAGACTGTCTCAAAAGACAAACAAACAATAACAACAAAAGCTATAGCCCAAGAAATTCCAAGAGACTCACAAGGAAACTGGAACAAACATAATCACCATTTCTCCAGAGGACAGCCTTGGTGCTGTGAGCATAACCTGGTGGCCTAAATCTATAATTTGAACTGAACTTTTGGTCCAAGTTATAAATGGAGTTTCTTCAGGTGATGGAAGGGATTCAATGGAATCATCTTAGGATCATTTCTAAGGGGGGCACAACTAAGTCAAAAGGTATAATTTTTTTTTGGGGGGGGGAAGAAGAGTGAAGACATACTTTCTCTGCAGAGATTTAAATGTACTAGATGGCACATTACTGAAAACGGTTTGAGAAAGTTCAAAGAGTATGTAGACAAGGACTATCCCTGTAACCCGAGGCTTACACCTTACAGAGAATGACCGGAACACAGAAGCCAGGAAGAAGACTAGAGGGGGATTTGAATACATAAGCTCTGCTCTTCTAGAGAAGAAATTCCATTTATAATTTAGACCAAAAGTTCAGTTCAAATTATAGATTTAGGCCACCAGGTTATGCTCACAGCACCAAGGCTGTGAGCATAACTTCTAGGGTACAGATAGTATAAATGAAATACAACAAGCTACTAAAGTTTTTCCAGCCCAATTTTCTCTCTGAAGACCTGTCTTGGTGTAGAAAAGCTAATTAGAAAATAGCTTTACATCTTAATTTCCAAAGAAAAATATGTTAAAGCTAATATATGAACAGAAACATTTTGACTCGCTAACATTTAAAGAAGTGGGGGGGGGGGCAGGGAGGGAAGGACAGTGCACTCTTGTGTTGGCAGAGGCTTTTAGGGCATTATAGTGTCCAGCAGTGGCCACCTGTGTCCTGTCTTGCTCAGGACAGTGTGAACTGGTAGTCCTTGTGGACTTGAACTGCATGGTAGAATTTTCTGGAAGGGCAGAAGTACTTTATGTTCCTGCTGTCCAGAACAGTAGCTACTTGCCATATGTGTCCCCCATGCAAATGAGGACGTGAACTTTTAATTTTGTTTAAATTAAATAGTCACATGTGGCTGCCACATGAGTCGTGGGATGAGACGATCCATCAACAGAAAGCATCATGTGCTTGTAACACTGTGAAGCTTCTTCTTTTTCATCCGACAAGTCTTTATCTTAAGAGAAAAAAATGCATTAGAAAAAGATTCCCTTACTGTGAGTCTATGGTAAGAAGCTGAGAATTACCTAAATGTCCAACAATGAGATTTAAGTAAGACATGAAATATGCATGAAATATGCTGCACACTCATTGCAGATTGTGCATGTTTGCAAGATATTTTAGGAGAAATATATAATACTTATACTATTATGTTTCCAAACATTGTGTGCATTCCACCTTTATGAGGAACGAGGCCAGGCTTGATGCCAATACTTGGGAGACCAAGGCCAACCTGAGCTAAGTAACTAGATTCTGTTTCAGAACCAAGCAAAACAAAGCTAATATCTCTCTCTCTCTCTCTCTCTCTCTCTCTCTCTCTCTCTCTCTCTCTCTCTCTCTCTGTTTGTGTGTGTGTGTGTGTGTGTGTCTGTGTCTGTGTTTACTTACTATTAGGATAGCATTCCTCTCCAGAAGCTAATAGTTTTAATTTCCAAATTTCTGTACAGTAAATATACCAGTTTTTTATTCAATTAAATGTGATTTTAAATTCTTAAGGACTGTGTGGTGAGGGGCTGTGGTCAGTGGACTGAGTTCTCAGCTCTTCACTATTAAGAAAGAAGCTACCCCCTTCCACACTTAATTCTAAGCCTCTAACTTCCTATCATTGTCTTTCTGGGGTATTTTTGTGCTGAATGAAAGATTGCTAGAATTTCTATGTCATAGCACACCTCCAGCCTGCCACCTTCAACCAGGCGAATCCATGTGACTTCTAAGTCCAGACCTGGAGGATGGGCCACTAGGCAGGCATGGCAAACAGGCGGCAGGGTAGTCCCTACAGACAAAGTCCTGTGTCCTGGAAAGGAACTCCCCAGACACTGCTGTGCATCACACGACCGCAGCAAAGTGGGAAGGGAAAGAATGCTGACTGGGTTTGTGTTTGGGCCTCTGAGACCCTTGGCTGCTGAGGTGTGGCTACAGGCAGAACAGTGGTCACAGGAAAGCCAGTCTGTGGCTACTCTCCCCACCTCTGCAACGCCCTTCCCTCCTGCAGTCAGTTCGATTTTCTGTGGCATTTTTAAAGCTTGGCTCATTTCAGCTCTGAGCAGGATGCATCTCTGGCCTGGAGGAAGCCCAGATTATATAGTTAATGGAACGTCATGTTTTCTCAACCAGGAGCAAAGACCGTATAATGATAACCCAGAACACCACAGTAACACAATAGGGCGTTATTAAGAGCTCTGGCAACTGGGCCGCACAGGGCTCTACACTGATGGAATTTCATGTTTATATAAACATGCTTTTCTGGTTAGAGTTGGGAAGAGTAGTTTGCTGGGAATTCAATCAGGGACTTGAAAAGTCAGACTTGGAAGGCCCTGTCTAGAAAAGAACAACAGAATCTCTCTTGAGTCTCCCGGTGGGTCTTCAGGACCCACCATGGACGTGGATGTACTTTTTCTTCCTGGCAGAGTCCTTTGACACTAAAATGTGCATTTTCATGCCACATATTAATCTTTTTTATGTAGAGGGAGAAGGAGGATTTTCCATCTCCGGTCTCAGCGAAGGGCTGGCTATGATACATGTGTCATAAAGACTTCAAACACAGAAGAACATTGAGAAGAGACCACAGGGTGAAGGGTGGGGGCTACAGGGCGAGACTTAACTTTTTATTCAACCAGTGTCTTTATCTGTTTTTCCCCAAAGAAAGGAAGCTCACTTTCTCAAACTTCCATTAGGCATCCCAAGGTGGTACTGATGTGAAGGGCTGTGAGGGAGTGTGACATTCCAGGGACATGGTCACAAGAGTAATGGACACAGATAGATGCTTGCCATCCTAGAAAGGAGCCTCACTAGGTAGAGTATTCTTTTCCTGGAAGAGACCTGGGTTTCCAACAACTAACTTACACAGGAAATTTTGAGAGTGTGAAGATCGGTGAGCTTCCCAGACCCACATGTTTTCACAAGGGACTGGGGAGCGTTGTCTGGTGATCCCTATTCTGTAGATGGGAGAAAGCTTTGCTCACTCCCCATCCTTCACCCCTGCCCCCCCCCCCCCGCCCAGGGTTAAAACTGCCCAGAATCAGGACTAGATCCTGACAGAGCAACAGAGCAAGACTTTCCTGCTCATGACTCCCAGCCTGGTCCCTTCTGCTCATCTCTACCCAGCCCACTGGACTATAATGAGAAGCACATGGTGGTGCAGCCAGTGAGATCCAGTGGGTTCCAGGAATTGAAAATCCCTGCACCAGCGTTTCAGTAAATCATGGAACCCAAGCAGTTAAGACTGCTTAATTATGGAGCAGCTGCTAGACCGCTGTTCATCAGTTGCTGTTGGTAGGAAATTCTGCATGCTTCTGCCAACACCCCTCCCACCTCCCAGAGACCTGGGGCTAGTGATTCACACTCTGGGGTGTGATCAGTATTCTGCACTTAAAGGTCCAATGAGTTAGTAGCTTGTTCAAATTGAATTTGACGGAAAAGGGAAATTTAAGTTTGCAGATGTGTCAAGACACACAGATGTAGCTTGC